TAGATACCTACAGTTACAGTTTACCACATCTGTTGAATAGACTTTGTTTTAAAATATAAATCTTCATGGCCAATTTTTCATTGTTAGGTAAATAAATTCCTCCTAGCTTATCTTACCTAAATAACTTTTACTAAAGGTGTAAAATATTTTAGGTATTTCAAAAAACCTTCATTATGCTGGTGCTACATCATGGAAATATTTGAAAGTTGAAGCCGTGCCACCGTTTACGTACAACTTCTTCAATGGAGCGCCCGGTCGGAAATTGGAAAGTATTGTCGGAAATTTGACGAACCGCGTCATAAGAGGAATTGAAAATCAAATCAAAGAAATAGACGCTGAGGCTGAAAGAACAAGGCTTGAGATTGAAGCAGCGATAAAAGCACGCGAAGAGAAAGCTAAAGCCGATGCAATAAAGAAAGAAGCTGAACGTGTTAAGGAAGCTAAGAAAGCAGCAGAAGCAATTAAAAAAGCTAAGGCTGAAGCCGCTCAAAGGCAAGCGGAGTTAGAAGCTGCTAAAGCAAAAGAGAAGCCAAAGGAAAAACCAAAGAAAAGAGGTAAAAGGGGTGAAAGGGGAAGAAAAGGTAGACGCCAACCAAAAAGGGGTCGAGGACGGGACAAGAAGAAGTGAAGTTAATAAATTTTACTTGTTATTTTACCAGTTAGGTTTTTATACACGTTTCTAACTATAGAAGAATTCGTATACTATTATTATGAATGACTTTAACATAAAAATAAGTCACGAGCATGCTATTTTAATAAAGATTTAACAATGTTTTGTAATTTATTAATTATTTACTACATTAGCTTAGCAACCAAAAGTAGATCCAGAGAGAAAAAAATAGTCACAACGTGCTATTTCATACAATGTTCATTATTGTTTTGGCTAAGGATTGAGTTGGAAAGTTGATGTTTTATTGTTATATTCAAATTTCAATGTAAGAGTTGCCGAGGATCATGTATCTCGGCAGATGGAGCTTTTGTAGCATGAGGTTATGATTTTTTATTTTGAGCGTTGATACCATAGGCGAAATACCATAAGCAAACTATGTATTTTATTATATGGGTTTTAGGTTATACCCTTCGAATAACATAGATTCCGGTAAAGAATTCCACTTCTTAGCGATTCGGATTATAAAACTTAAGGCGAACCGCCGCTGGGATATCCACCGTAAAGCGTCTGCCGTAAAGCGTTTTGCCGATTGTCTGTTGGTACGATAGTGAAATATGACATAGTTCAATCATAGTAGGTTTTAAAAATTGTGAGTCCAGCGATATAAGACTCGTGAGGGCTAGCTGGGCACACTTCGGTAGAAATGCAGACAATTAGACCACCAAATCAGTTCAGACATTAAATTATACAACATGTACAAATTATACAAGGTTTTTAGCTGCTTGGTTGATGCCCCAAACCATACAAACCAAGGTCGACCTTTGTACCTAATTTTTCTTTGTATGCTAATCATCTGATGAGTACGGTAGTGGTAAAGAATGGTAGAACTATTGGATTTCATAATATTAAGCAATAATAATGTAATTGACGGAGAGCGATGCTACAGCACGAATGGATCGGTTCAACCGGAGTGATAACTTTGCGATCATGATATCTGTGTGAGTGTTACCGGTGTCCCAGTCCTCCTCTTCATTCCCAAATCTCAACCCATGTATTCCTAAGCCTCATGAGACCGGCAATGCACGTGTGTACACCTCTGGTGTAGCGGGTAACAATGAGTGATGCCGATTGCTTACCGTTAGGTGATCGGTCTGTACTTTTAATATTAAACATGACCTCAAAGGAGGTAGGATAAGTTGGTCGTTTGGGTTGCCAACTATGCTATCCAAAAAAGGTCGATCATTAATCGACACTTCAGTTTCTTACTTCTAGCTTGATGATGGCACTAATTAGCATTTGTGTGCTAATCAACTAATGATTATTGCGTTTGCGTAGTAAGTTACTTGACGTGAGTAAGTCGTTATTTTTAATAAATTTAATAAAAATCTATTTTAACAAAACATTATCACAAGAATTGTTTTCTTACCAGCTTAAGTATTTATTTATTTGAAGTAAACACCAACCTCTTTTAATTGAAAAATCATAGAGTAATTTATTTTTTTAACATGAAGTCACCCAGATTGTCGTTTTTGCATTTTGATTGTCAATAGCAAAAGGGATTAGGTATGTGTGTGGCGTGAATAATTTTATAAAAAATAAAAAGTATTCTACAGAAATGGCTTTCAGTTTAAATTTATCAAGGTTTACAAATTTATTTCGTGAGTTTTTTCTTTGTTTTTAATTATAGCTTAGACTTAGGTCGACCTCAACTAGGCAAGTAATGACATTCGCAAAATCACCGACCACTGAAGGTCAAGCTCTGTAGCGTCCTATTACAGTGGAAATAAGCTGACGGTGAAACTAAGTATTTTTTAAGATTATTATAAAATGCAACAGAATAGAACAGGGTACAGGCGTACCGCTCAATGATAAGCAAGACAACTGCATCACCCACGAGAGACAATCTAACTTAGGTATATTAGACACGAAAGTCCACAGAAAAGTTAGATACCATACCATACTTTGGAAATTAAAATGAACAACGTGTGGGAGAACCATGCTATGGGATGATGGAATGGGTCGCGCGCGGTTGGTTCGAGCAGAGTGATACCACGGCCCCAAAGAAACAAAGTGACGTGAAACAACCACAGCGTTGTTTGGCCGTGTGATCCCTAATCCCCAAAAGGTCGGCAACGCACTCGTAACTCCTCCGTTGTTGCTATCTATATCCTAAAACTTGTTCTTAGGCAGCAGATGGGCCCTCATGACAGAAGTTGGGGGTGTGTACCGACCACACATCTCAAACAATAAGGAGAAGCTGATCAGCTTGATTAGAGGTGAGTGAGTCTTGGAATTTCTAAAATGTAGTAGGGACATGGGCAGTAAGGGATCCTGGGCTGCAATAATTTAGGGGCCTACTAAATTATTGTTGGATGTTTCATCATCATCATCATCATCATCATCATCATCATCATCATCATCATCATCATCATCATCATCATCATCATCATCATCATCATCATCATCATCATCATCATCATCATCATCATCATCATCATCATCATCATCATCATCATCATCATCATCATCATCATCATCATCATCATCATCATCATCATCATCATCATCATCATCATCATCATCATCATCATCATCATCATCATCATCATCATCATCATCATCATCATCATCATCATCATCATCATCATCATCATCATCATCATCATCATCATCATCATCATCATCATCATCATCATCATCATCATCATCATCATCATCATCATCATCATCATCATCATCATCATCATCATCATCATCATCATCATCATCATCATCATCATCATCATCATCATCATCATCATCATCATCATCATCATCATCATCATCATCATCATCATCATCATCATCATCATCATCATCATCGACGTACAGTTCTGCTGAAAGAAGTTTTTCTAAATTAAAATTTAAAAAAAATATTTGAGAAACACAATGAGCCAAGGAAGACTTTCAGCTTTGGCTGTTTTATCAATTGAATCAGACTTGGCATCTAGGCTGAATTACGATACCATAATTAAGGAATTTAGTAAAGTTAAAAGCAGGAAATTTCTGTTCCTTTTAAAGAACACTAATGATTTTTAAGTATACGCTAAGAAATGTATATCTCCACCTTTATATTTACGATTTGTAATTTTTCATTAATACTTATTAACCTATTTTGTATTTTTCTGAATAAAAACTTGGCAGTGTTAATTGTTTTGTTTGTTTTTATTATTTTATAAAATCCGTCTTTGGGTCGCCATAGAAAAGGGCCTCCCGAAATCTGTCTTGCCCACATCAAATTTAGGTCTTGCCCCGCCGCTGTATGGGTGTCACTACCAACATGAATAGACAAAGAAGAGGGGTGAATATAGATACTAAGAAATTTGTGTATTTACCCCTCAAATTCTATTAACCCCGTTTACCGTACCTAGTTTTGTCTTATTTTTACTCATTTCTACTTATTATTGATCAGTAGTGATGTTTTTAGTACGAGAATCATCATCAGCCTGATGTCGCCAATGGACGGGAATAATCAGTGGCATAATTTTTCTGTTACTTTCTAATGTAAATTACATTTTGATTTAGAAAAAGCTGAGGCCGCTACAAAGTCCGAGCTGGCGAAGAAGATGAAAGTTCTTAAAGGGTTTTACACTGTAGAACTTTCACCCCCACGTGGTTCCGAATTTGTGGTAAGACCAATAAGACTTTAATTAATTATACAACCTCATTAGAATTGGTCTTTCGTGATAAAAATATTGATAATAATAATGAAACTTGCTTTTTCGGATTTTTTTTTGTGGGGAACAATCATTAAGTAGTTCTTCCGCCTTGGGTGAGGGCGAGAGGGAATGACAGACTCTTACTGGCTATCATTATGAGGACCACCCTGAGGATACTGCTTAGGCTGAGCACCGGCGTGTCCTCTGGGTAGTGATCGGCGGCGGCGACTTTTCGCGCCCGGTCTTAGTCAAGGCCATGGTTCGTAGCGAGAGGTACTCGGAAGCTGTCTCCTCCTTCTGCGAAGTAGTGGTGCTCGCAAAGGAGGAGGCAGAGCGCGTGAGAGAAGTTTCCTCCTCACGCCCTAGCCGCCGCAATAGGTGACATTCCGGGCTTCGGCGATCGAGAGATGATCTTTGGCCGTTGACGGTTGACAACCCCGTTTGAATGAAAAATTAGCCATTAGACAACCTATAAGTACCGTGGTCCCGGCCCAGAGCTGGATATACTCCCTCTCGACCTAACATGGGCAGGAGGAGAAATTAAACTTAATTATTTTCCCGCTCAAAAAAAATGCCATCATCATCTGTAAGCAATTTGGCGTAATGTTGCTGCGATTTATCTGGTGGTGATCCTCTGGATGGCCAACCTATTCAATGTTTAGGGTTAGATGCTCACTTGAAAATTTTAAATGATGGGACAACTAAACAGTCTCCTACATGGTCGGCAACGCGTTATTGAAACAACGTTAGTCGGTTATTCATTCGGAACCCCAAAAAGCGTTTCATTTATTTGCCCACAGAAATTCGCAGCAGATTTAGCTTTAGCCCGAGAGTTTTTAAAGAACAAATGCTACTTGCACATAACAGTTCGCCAAGCCTGGTTACTTTTTTTGGTCGGCCTTGAAATAACGATGTGGTTCTTCCTTGGAGAAACTATTGGCAAACGTCACATCGTGGGATACTCAGTTTAGTGAAATGTCATGTTGTTACTTGTCTTCTAAATATCTATATAAATTGCGCAATATATGAAAATACTGAAATAAAACTTTGTAATATACCACAGTATTTTATTTCCAGTCGAGTTATCTAAAGGACAAAAAGACTAGCGAACCGCGCCATCAGCGTACAGTATCCGTACCGTCACTTTAGTTTAGCGGTCTGGCAGTTTCTAAACTGCAATGAACTGCCAAAATCACCATCAAACATGGTTCGAAGCAGACAAAAGTAACGGTTAGGTTTGATCGTCTACTTTGTGCCTTTAGCCAGGACTTATAAATGGTAGGTAGCTGTGCCGTTTAGAACCTTGTCGCCTTAACTTGCCAAGCATCAGATCGTAAAACCTCTAAAGTTTACACAGGAGTTAAAACAGGTGTGCGTGTGTGAATACCATTGTCACTCTCGGTTTCTATTTCTATTCCACATTCCATTAATCACCAACTTTGTACCTAAGTAGGTATCTAAAGACTGGGTAGAGATCAGGTGCAGAACGTAGGTTTTGGCAGTGATAGTAGATAGTAAACAGAGCCTCTGCTACTTATATATTTCAATGTAGGAATAGAGACTGCACTACAGCTACAACAGAGAGTACTATGATTCAAGAGCTACAAAACCTTCTGACGTGGATACATATGTTGTCACAGAGCGTCTTACTATTTACTTAGGTAATAGTTTCATATTTCTACCTCACAGTCACACAGAAAAAACATCGATTGTTGGTATTTCCGAACCGATACGAAGGCGACAATTTGAATCTTGAAGAAAAGAGGAAGAGCGTAGGTAGGTACCTACTTCTTCAAGACTGGCAACGCATTTGTGACTCGATCTTGCTAGTGTCCATAGGCGGCATTGATCGCTAACCATATGCTGTATAGCCTCTCTATTTCCAGAAAAAAACAGGAACAAAGTTTTTAAGTAAAATTGCGATTATATACATGACTTTGTAATAATAATTTACAGAAAAAACAGGAAATGTGTTTAATTTTTGCAACAATATTATATTTTTTTACAATAACAATATTTTAATGATATAGCTCCTTTGTCATCGGTGTACCTATTACATGATACATGTAAATTAAATAGGTACATTTAAATGCCTCAGTCGCTACGTACTAACTACTTGTACAGTGCACAGTATAACATTTATTCACATTCAAAAACTCGCAGTTCTAATACCTTTAATACTACTTCAACAACGGGCCGCGATAGTCTTGTAAACCGTACCTGCAGATTTGTAATATTTTTGGTATTTATTCCTTCTGTGAAAATATAGTTTTAAAAAATCTAATTTTTTGTAATCATATAACTCTACAAAAAAGTAATGCTGAGCTTAAAAGTTTAACGGAGTGATGTAACTTTGTCGTGCTATAAAATTAAAAAGTTATTTTGTCAAATTGTACGTCAGTCGTTCAAAATGGCGGTGAAGGTGCAATGCGGTGTTTCCGCGGAAACGAAAATTATGGAATTATAATTTAAATGCAACCAAATCCAATAAAAAAATGATAGACAGTGTGTTTTGATAGTGCTCGTGTTCTATATAAAATTATCTTCATCCTTGCAGATCTACAAAATTGTTTTGTTGGTGTTATAACGTGATGTTGCGGCGAGTTAACTTTTATTCAATATGTTTCGCGTTTGGTATCAGTGTTCTTCTAATATTTGTTGGAAGTCGATATGCAGATAACACTTATTATCGTCCGTCCATTGAAAGCCGGAGAAATGTTAGAAACTTTTTGAAAGTTGGAGATGAAGCTTACACGTTACTCAACATCCCCACAATCCTGTATGATGGATCGCCAGACATCAAGTTATTACTCGAGAAAACACGTTCTAAAATTAAATACGAGCTGTCTAAGTATAATTTTTCCGAATTTGGTGCTCAAGCTTTGGAAAATTTAGTAATTGAGTCCGGGGGGCAGCCCTCTCGCAGTTTAATCATATCTACATGGAGGTCTGGAACTACTTTTCTTGGTCAGTTATTGAATGCCATCCCCGGTACTTACTATCACTATGAACCGCTACTTAAATATGGAATTATACAAATACGGGGGCCACCAGACGGTGATAAAGCTATAGACGATATAAGGTCTATGATGAAATGTGATTATGATGGCTTAGAGGATTATTTTAATTTTGGGAAGAAACATTTGTATCAGTTTAGCCACAACACCAGACTATGGGACCATTGTAAACATAAGAATGAACTGTGTTGTGATGCTGACTTCACATCACGGATATGTAAGCTGTTTCCGTTTCAAACCATGAAGGTTGTAAGAATGAGGCTACGGCTCATCCAGGACATATTAAAGGATAAAGAGTGAGTATTATGTTTATGATTCATTTAAATTTTATTTATCTACATATGAAAACTTTGTGCTAAAATTAAAGAATTCGTTTTATAATTTTATAACTTAAATAATTTTGTAGAGACGCTTTACTGGTACTTGGATCAGTTTAGTTTATCAAATATGATCTGAATTAGGCTATAATGAAGTTATGCCAAAATTGTTTAGTGTAACACAGAACAAAGAATTGATTTAAGAACTAGGTGGAGGAACATACAGTTTTATCTGTACTGTAATAATACATAATTATTCTTTTATTAAAATGTGTTTTCAACCTTTTTAGGCTTAATGTGAAGGTTATACTGTTGATCCGGGATCCTCGAGGTGTGATGCAGTCCAGACAACATCGTACCTTTTGCCAGACTTCTGCTGACTGTTGGGATCCTCCACTACTTTGTGCTGACATGATCAGCGATTATGTTGCAGCTGCCCGCATACTTAAGCATTATCCTGACAGACTTATGTAAGTTATCTTTTATCTTTAAAAACCCAAGCCAAAATACCATAGGCTTTTGTAGAGTTGAGTGAAAAAAGTTTGTGATGATAAAATGAAAATATAAATATTGGTCAATTTTTTTTCTTGAAATCACGTACCTTCTGTGTATCCATGTTTATTTCTAGTTATAATAATATATCTATTATTTTCCTTCATTATTAATTAGTCTTGGTTGAATTGAGATCTAGATTTCTTAACATTTTTAGACATTGTGCAATTTTGCACCATGTGTTTATTGGACTCTTTTGACAGCTAAAATAAGTAATAAAATGTTTTGCATCCTTCTCTTTCAAGCTTGTATTACTTAAGTGGTAATTTCTACTATATTTTTTATTCAGTGTCTTGTGGTTATATTATTGTTTATACAAAAATTATTTTCAATTATGAAATGACTAGTTTTCCTAGTATTGGATTTGATATCTTTTACAGTCTCTAATTTCACCACAGTGCTAAAATTGATTGATTAAGCTAATAAAAAACATATTGTACAAGATACCTTTAAATTATATATAAAATAGGTAATTGTATTACATGAGTGCTATTTGACTCTTTCAAATAACAACAATCTGGTGGTAATATGAGCTTCACATGTGTAGTTTTAAAATTATTATTATTACTATATGTAGGCAATATGTTATGTATTTATCTCAAATATTATTAGTCCAGAACTCCAGATAAACAGATGTAGTGTGTCCTTCCATAGCACATTTTTATACTTTTTACTGCCATATAGCAGTCAATAAATCTGTTTTCAAGTTGGGGAGTAACAGTGAGTAGGTATTTTTATAATTCTTCAGTAAGCAGTCTGGGATCATGTTACTCAAAATACTTTTTTCATATAGTATTTGTCTGTGGTCCTCCTGCCTGGTTATCCCATCGTGGATGAAGAGGCGTTACTATATTATGATGTATTTATTTATAAAACAAGAATGGTAGAAGTAGGTATGTAGTAATTAAAAAGTTTATTTTTGTTTGAAAAGAACAATTCTGTTGTACTGAAATAGGTACGGAAAAAAATTAACCAGTTTTAAAACTTCGTTCAACATTAGAAAGATTACATCTCACGCCATAGCTGCATAGGTAGGTTAGCCTATGATAGGCTATTTTTTTTACTAGCTATCATAGTCGAAACTTAGCGAAAAGCCAGTATTTTGTATACCACAGATTACAAAATTGTTTGTAACCATACTCTGTGGTGTTTAGGTGTCGTTGTTTTGACCTAGACCGACAAGGTCTTTACATTTGATATTGCAATCACGCTGCGTATAATTAAATGGACGGGTGCCTCGGCGTAATCGACATGTCGCAAGCGCGAGTCTTAGCGTGTTCGAATAAATATGGCAAAGGTTTTCCGTTTTCAAAATTTGATTCATGTAGATATTTACCTGTGTCACTGGTAGACGGTGAAGGAAACCAACGTTTATTATTATTTTTCTATTACATAGTGTCTATCCAGACATTTTGAGCTTTAGCATTTGCTCGTCAATATACTCCTTTTGTACCAACCTGTTCATTCAGTCAAAGACAGAATGGTCAAAGGTTTTAGTAAGTCTGATACTGGTTCTCATCCCACACAGAACGAAGAAGTTATTGGATTAATTTCGCCCTCAAAAAAAACGCCTACCTACATCAAGAAGATCATACATTTACTATCGTCTTCATAATCGGCCCGTTTCCATTCACTGCTGGACATTACAAATTCAGCTCTTCTAAACCAACCACTGCTAGCCTCCTTAGATATCGTCACTTCAAGGGACGATCTCCGGCCACCGTAAGCGCGGGTCTGCGGTCGGCGAGTTAAAAGACCACCACAGAAGTGGCCCTATAGGGCTGATGTTCAGCCGGGGTTGCGGGGTAGTACAATGAGGCACCGCGACCTCGGCCCAGAGAGGGAGAAGTAAAGGGGGGGGGGGGGGGTTTAAGTCAGTAAGAGTCTGACACTCCCTCCTGCCCGACCCTGAGTGGGAGAAATAATTTGATCATTTTTCCCTTACAAAAACAACATCTGTCTGGAGGCCGTGAATTCGCTGTGTTAACGTAAAAGAAGCTTATGAAATTTTAAAGTATGCCTTTAATCCTTGTTTCTCCATTTCAGGGTGTTGCGGTACGAAGAGCTGGCATTACAACCTAACGTAACAGCTTATCGAATTTTAAAGTTCCTAAAGATTAGTGCCACGGGTTTGTTAGACGAATTCTTGGATTTGCACACTAATGTTGATGTGGCTGGAGTTAGCTCCACGTTTAGAGTATCCAAGGAGGTGCCTTTCAAATGGAAGAATACTCTCAACTTTACTTATGTGGACGATATACAGGTATGTTTTGCCTTTAATAACGCGGTTATTTGGTCTATTCGCTAAAAGCTCCAAAACTGCTGATCGGACTTTTATATGGTTTTCAGTAATGGATAGGATGATTTTTGAAGTGCTAAATGTATTAATACAGGTTTCATACTTCTGGTCACAACTTGGATTTTAAGTGTTCGATCATCAGGGCCGTAGGTTAAGCCGAAGTTGCATGTCTATCGCATTAAAAATTCGCGGCCCGGCTCGTAGCAAAAGTCGAAACGGGGTGGTTTTTGGTCAGTATTAGTCTGACACTCCCGATCGCGGGAAAAAGGAAGAAGAAAGAAAGAAAGAAAGAAAAGAAAGAAAACTGTTTTTATTCGGACCGAGACATGAAGGCCAAGAACAAACAAAAAAAAAAAAAATACAACAATAGAAAAAAAACAAAACGAAAAGAAGATTTCCCCTCTAAAACATTCGGTGCTAAAAGAATATTTAACGCATATAGGTGGAAAAAAATAAACAGACCATTTACAGATTAGTGTTATGTATTCGTTAGAATTTTATACACATATCGTAGACACGATTTTATTTCCCAGTTTTGTTAATATACCTAAGCTGAACATAGTTAATTGATGATTGATGGAACACGTGAATAATTTGCCAAAAATACTCTCTGTTTAAAATAGTAGTACCTACCTACGGTGTTCCTGTTTATACTTGGTATAACCGTAGGTACTCATCTGGGCTGCGTTCGCAAATATTTACTTCCAGATGTACAAAGTTGGGCGTCAGATATTTTACCTACGTAGGGCTAAATTTAAAACGGTCAAAAATAATAAACCTAATAACTTTGTGTCGATCTCGATTTAATAAATCTTAGTCCTGTTTCACAAATGTCTGAACAGTCGCTATGCATACGATTAATTTCAATATAGAACGTATTTTTTATAAATTATCAGCTGCATACGTTTATTGGGAAACTATGAAGGTGGTGAAATAGGCGCTTAATCTATTGGGTCTCTGGTAACCTCACTCAAACGAAACTTACCAGAAGTTGTTAATGTTGGTTTTTATATTTATACTAGCAGACCCAGCCACGCGTTGCTGTGGCTAAAGGTAAATAATATTGTGACTATAAATTGAGATGTAAGCTATCCTATCTTTCAAGTTAGATCAAAATGCACACGGAATGCAAATCAAATTTAAAATCGGTTTAGTAGTTTAGGAGTCCATCGCGGATAAACACGTGACACGCCCGCCCTGAGCGAAGCGACAGCGAGTGTCAGGTTGCGGGGTAAGCGCAATGAGGTACCGCGACCTCGGCACAGAGCAGGAGAAGGAACAGGGGGGTTTTTAGTCAGTAAGAGTCTGACACTCCCTCCTGCCCGGCCCTGGGCGGGAGAAGTCATTTGATGATTTTCCCCTCACAAAAAAAAGCCTCTCACTGACTTAAAACCACCCGTTCCTTCTTTCGCCCCAAGCCGGAGCCTTATCATTTCGAACATAAAGGGTTCACGATGCATGCGGAATACTGTGCCGCAGAACCGGCACCAAAAAAATGTGTAAAATTAGAATTTTAACATCTTGCTTTATAATTTTCAGAGGGCGTGTAAGGAAGCCATGTCTCTATGGGGCTACAAAATGGCAAACAACGAGACTCATATGAAAAGCGAAGATTTCATGCCCTTGGACAACTATACGATCTCACAGTGAACACTGAACCAAAAACAAGGATGTAAAGAGGATATTTTTTCCCACAAAAAATATGCATACCCTTCATTTTTGTCCAAATGGCTCTAATGATGTAGATATTTCTATTATTACACGACAATAACTTCAATTTTATTATTAAAACTAAACCGAAACGTGAACATAATATACGTAAGGATGTATTCCAATTTGTCAGTTTTGAATTATGGCTATTGGAGGGATAATCTCAGCAAGATAAATAAAAAAAAAAACAATAAATATAATCTTTTAACATCTCTATCGCCCCACCAAATAACATAATAATACCTATGTCAATTATATTTACGTCAATTCATATGTTATAAAAAAATATTTCTCAAAAATAAGGGTATGCATGGAAACAAATATTTTCGGAATGTCCCAGTGAACATACTACCATAAAACTCGCAATAATTATTCACTTCGAATTTTTGAATACAACATATACACATGTGAGGGGGAAATTGGTTCATATCTTGTAAGTATTGAGGTGCATTTTTGCTTTTAACTAGTGATTAATTAATGTGTAAGGTGTTCAAATTTTTTTTTTTATTTATTTATTTAAGTCAGGCATCTGAGGCCCATAGAGAATACAATACATAAATATATGTACATTAAATCATAAACTTATAAATATATTACATAAAAAACTTAAAAACTAATGCACACGAAGTGTCAAACGAAGTAGTATCAAATTAAGAATAGCATCTATATTAATATGTTATGCCACCAAACCCCTTCTGTCTAATAGTTGACGGATGTTGAAAATCTTATAGTTGACTAATTTATAATATTTTATTTTCAGAAAAATCTCATACAATTTGCTCCAGAAAATGATCGAATTGGCTATTTCCTGTACAATTAGAGTGACATTGCTATTGCAACAATCAAGGTACATATTATTATTATTATTTATTTAAAGCCAACGTATTGGCGCAACTTATCATTTATATAGGCCCAAATGCAATTGTATTATAAACATTGTGATTTATAGTTTTAAATAACCTTTCGTACGTAATATGATAGTTTCAATGCGGAATTTGAACTTTGCGCTCACAAGATGGCGTTAGTGAAGCATAAGGTCTTACTAGTCAATTGTTCAGGTGTTACTAATTGAATTGTTTGCAAATATAAATAAATGGGTGATTCTTAACATTATTTTAACGAAAATTAACGATAACATAGTAACTTACATGCTAAACAGCTCGGAATGTCAATGATTTGTTAAATAGAAGTTCTAAAGAAAATCAACCAAATGAACCTTAAGCTACACTAGCGACACTGGTGGTCCAAATTATCATTAATTACGTACTGGCTGATGAGCCTAAAATTATATCAAAACGCTGTAACAGACTGTTTCGATGGTGATACGACATCATATAACATAATTAATATTCTACAGTTCAACAGTAGGCACAAAGTTTTGAAAATGATCGTAATGGACAAATAATTGATACATTTTATAGGCACATAAATATGAGTCATGGTTTAAGTGAACATATAATTATGTTAGGTATAAAAAGTACGTTTCTTTTTGTGGTATTTTTGGCTATGTACACCTTCAGATATTCTTAAATTGAGTATAATTACCAATGAGAAAAGGGGAAATATTTTACAAAAACAGTAATCTACAATCGTTTTAGGAACTTACTCAGAACGAAATGTATGGTTTGTTGCAATTTAGAATTTCGTTCGATAATTAGACAGTTAAACCCTTTTTTTACTGTCAGTTCAATTAATATTGGCTTAAGGTGGTGAATTGACAAACGGCGACTCCAGCAAACTTCTTTTGATGGTGAAGTGTAAATCATCAAATGACTTCTTCTCTCCCCGGGTGGGGTAGGAGAGAGTCTCAGACTCTTACTGACTAAAAACTCCCCGTGCCTTCTCCAGCCTGAGGCCGCGCAGCCTTATTGCGCTTACGACTACGAAACTTACTTGGTGTTTGTAACTACTTAAAAGCTTTTAATACCACTCATATACCGATGAAAATGAACTTAAAATTGGTTAAACATACAGTAAAAAGTTTTGTTTAAGCGTATAAACTAAACGCGAATATTCATTGTTATCTGATGTCGTAACATTATCGTTGTAAAGTAGGCATCTATTTAAATTATTTAAAATGATACATCGAAGTATAAAATGCGTAACGCATTCACACTAGTTTATACTTAGTAAGACCGATGCTAGTTGATTTAATTGTCTTTTATTTAATTTTAAGACTGATAGTTTCTGTCGATCCTAATCTTCCATACATTATACACGAAATGATTGCGCTTTAGATACATAGTTGAGTAATGTACTCGGTACATAGTACTCGGTAGCTATAGTTAGAGAACTCTGGTTGTGTGAGCACTTCGGGTGTGTCATTATATCAAATTGTAAAAGATGGACCATTATAATGTTGGAGTAATAAAAACATATTATTCCTCATTTATGAATGAGGGTTTTCGATTTTGTGCCCGCCAGATGGCGGTAGTGTCGCTTAAGATCCTACAAGCCTTCTTAATCTGAAAAATGGCAAAATTGTAGCACATATTCTGTCTTGATCTTTTACGACACTAGCGCCTCTAGCGGCGCAAAAACCCTCATTGCATTTAATTATTAAGCTTAGGCAACTTCGCACTCACGGAATTGACCGATGTTTAATGCTTCCATTATAGACACGGATAGTTTAGAGATGCATTATTTTTTAATAAGTATTAACGTGTAAGGGTTGAAACAGTGCTCTTCTATTAAACGTAGTCAATAGCTGTCTACGGATTAGCAGTGTGTTTACTAACACTGTTAGTTGGTCAATGCATACGTTTATTTCAACAAACTGTATTAATAGTGTCCTAAGGTATAATTTCCAGTGATAATAAACTAACAATGAAGTTAAAAGGAGTAACAAATAGTGACTAAACCTTGCACAAAGTTGATTTTCTTATGTCTTGACCTAACTGACAGTAATTTGTAGATATACTGCTTCATTAGAAGCGTCGCAACAAATATTTATACATCATTTATATTTGTGCAAGCGTTTATGCTTACCGATTATAAAATGTGTAATTTAGTGTAGAATCGTCCATTGAAATTGAAACAATACTCGATATAACATGACATTACTAAGTGAAAAGAATCTCCAATACATGACAATTGAAAGTAAGGTGATGACTATAATACATTAAATAATGCTAGGTATATATTATAGCCATTTTGGGGACCGGAGGCTTTCGGGCGGTCATTGTGATCCAACTCTTGAGAAGTTATAAGTGCCCTATCTCATTAAAAACAGAATGAGTCGTACGACCAGGTTGCGCTTGGTTGCGCAACAATCTGGACCCTATTAGAAATTTTGTTGCGCAATGAAATAGGGCCCAAAGAGTTAGTGATATTGTTCATACACAAACTTAATGTTTGTATTTAAGCATATCGCATGTTGCCTAAATGGTTCTACTGAACTTATATATAGGGTGTTACTATGTGGAACAATGTATGTGAACGTAATCTCCGTCCATGAGATAATTACGATCCACGATTAAGGCCTCCACACCACCAGAAAGCCGTCGAGCTCCTCCTGTTGTTAATACGTAACGTATATTAAAGCTTACTACAATAGTAATAAGGCATAAAGTTAGGTGACGGTTTTTTTACGGCTGCCAATATACATCATGATAATGTTAAGCTAAGTATTTGAAAATGGAATAGTTTGTTCTTTTTATGTTTGTTGTCTGTAGTATTTTTTTTTTGTGAAGAGATTATAGAATGTAGAACCTACTGTTTTGAACATTAGACTGATTAAAGCTAGATTGGCAACATTTGTTACATAGAACAGAACAGATCTTTAAGACTAACCCCAATGGGTCACTAAATAAGGAATTACCCTTACTAACAAATACAATCGTAAATAAAACGTATGTGAGAATCCCAATAAAAACTTCAATTTACAAATAGAAACGAAACAATCAAACAATTTTAAGCACTATTCCACGCACACAAAGGTGAAGTGAATTGCAAAAATATTGTTACATGACCAATTAAGCTAACTTTGGTCTTAATATCAAGGGAATAACTATTAAAATCCATTGAGTACTTATAGTGTGAAATGCCTAATTTAATCGTAGAAAAATCGGAACTGAATCTCGTTATTTGAATAAAGAAGTTGGCCACTTTTATTATCACTAGCGCGTGTTGTTGCACAGATTATTAAATAGTGTGATTTTAAAAATAATTTTCACCATTTAGGCCGTTACAGAATCTCTAGTTGAAACAAAATTATTAAAAATGTCTAGTCATTTGCTTTTAGACGGAATTTTGGAATTTTATGCTTTATTTACATGAAATTAAGTACAATTAATTTGAAAATCGTATGATCATGCTCAGTTCATACATTTAATTGTCGCCTACAAGCGTATACGTCATTTGTGAGGTACTTGGTGGCCCATGTAGAAATGGATCCTAGGAAAATCTGGCTTGGGCAGGAAAGTTGTAGAAGGAATCGTTGGGAACAATATACGAAAAAGTGCTTTTGCGCAAGACAATACACTAATATGAGCAGCAACGGTATTCCTGTGACGCGGACCATTTACATGGGACATCTAGTATTTCCATAGGTATTAAGTACGCTAATAATAATTATTCAAACTAATGGAACTGTTGTTGTAGTGAGAATTCATTAAGTGCACTTGATTATAAAGTAGTAACAATATTAGGATTAAAATAAATGATATAATCAGTAACTAGCTTATGTTCGATTTGAATGTATTCAGTTTTATTCTTCAGTCTTATAGCTATTTGAAGTTGAACCCATTGAACAATGGTGTTCTATAACGAAAATACTTATTTAATTTTATATTCTAGAATAAGCTATAGCTTTTAAAGTGTGTTATAGAGACAGTTTTCCTCGAATATTTATTTGACAATGGTGTTGATTGTCTTGGACACGAAATAAACTGAATTCAGATTGTCGATCTTATTTAATACTTACGGAAAGGCAAAATTTGCAAACGTCATGAACAAAAGATACGCCAATTTGAAAATTACTTGAAATTCTAGCTCTTTTTTGTCCCAACTATTAACAAAAAAGAGACTAGTTTTATTTGGTGAACAAGAGAATCTACGCTATTGCCATAATTTTAGGTAGATATACAATAATCACGGGGTACATGAATGTTACACTACTAACTTAATAATATAAACACTTGACGTACCGCATTCTCTATTATAGTCACTATTTAACTTGATAATTTGATCGTAATTACCGCACTCAGACAGTTAATGATTATTTAAACTTGTCCTTAGTAACGATTTTGTTTCGAAAACTATTACAAAGGACTTGGTTAAGTCACCATTTATTGACTTTTAGTTCAGAGGCGACAGACGAAAGATTTGTGTGGATACGACTCGCATGATCTGAGATACAAAGTTACCGTATTTTACTCAAGAGCGGAGGATACTATCCATTGTCGGATTTTTTTAATAGCCAAAGGAGGCCAACATCATGTATCTGATCTTGGATCACAAAGAAACATGGTGATGTTGCTGATTCAAAGTCAATAAACTAATGGGCGATGATATAATATGTGATGCGTGATGGTTCTACTAGTGTAACATTCATGTACCACCAACAAAAGAACGAAGCTTACAAAAATACCTAATGTCAATAAATCGCCATCAATTACTAATTAAGATAACATGCTTCCTGATAGATTGGACAATATAATGATATTCATTTATGCCTTAAAATACTGGTAGTGATATAGGTAAGGTTTATTATTGAATTGCATGTTAGTTATATTTAATAATAATGATTTGTAATAAAAGTTCTGGTGGCTGGCTGGATCCAGTGTAGATTTTTTATCATATCATTAGCATAGGATATATACACTTATTATAATATAGTATTTATTAATTATAAAAGTTTGCTTTCAAAGTATTTTATTTGTATTGTAATATTATTGTTTTATTTCTGTACAATTTTTTGTATTGAATTTAATTATTTTATCAGGTTGTGTGTTCTATGTTCTATATTTAAATATCGAAGCACAAATTAGGCGCGTGCGCAATTTAAATTTGATTTTTGTAAGGATGCTAGCGAATTTATATCAGCATAACGTTAAGTGAGGAATTCCTCTTAGATTCAGAGTCTTAGAGGATTATATCGACTTTATTTATATCGTGCGATTAATAAACTATGCAAGCAATAATATGCATTAATTGGCCCTTACTTAAGAGTGGAAATGGTAGTTTCTAAGGGTAGCCTTATTAGATTAAGAGTTACGATTGAATGAATAAGAATGTTGAAGTTTTAATCTATAGATTGTAATAGCACAGCCGGCGTTATAATTGCAAACATTGTATTATCATTTTATTTGAAGTTAATAAAGTTACAAGAAAAACATTTGTTTTATTTAAACGTCTATACTGTACCGTTGCCTCGGGAGTTTTCATTGCAGGACAGAGCCATCAGTGCAAACACTGGTGCTGATTAGTTGCAGACAACCAGATAGAACAAAATTTTGTTGGTATGAAATTGCTAGTTGGGATTTAATAATTGTTATGCAACAAATTTCTTTCAAAATAAACGCTGCTCCAAGCTAGTCTCGTGGATGCGTTGACAAACATACACAATGCCACCCACACCCGAAACAACGATTTGTGGATCACATTATTTAAGTGTTGTTGCGTGCGGGCACCAAACTGTCATAATTTTTTATTAAGCTAGAAAAACACGAAAATTTAATGTATCGTCAAATAAATTCATCTTAGAATTATTTTGGAGTAAATATTTTTATTCTTTAACATTTAATATTTAAAAATATTTTTTGACTGAGGCAACTTCCACGTTTGCACGACCGACCAGTCTGATAATTATTGAGTCTGATGAAAAATGGCGCTTATTACGTGTTGCTGTTCATTACTAACATATCCAAATGGTTTAAAAAAAACCATCCGGAGTCTTCAATCGGACTGACCCGCAAGTCAAAGGATCTAAGGTGGAATGTCCTGTTGTAGAAATATTTTAGGTGTTCTGCCATCACTGGCGAAAAGTTCGGTTCCACGAAAATAATACCTGGAACGAAAAATGGTATTAGAAAAAAATATTACAAAATCTTTACCATATATGTCCAATATTAGGTACATATAAGGTCTTATAAATCACTGAACTGATTTTAATACAATTTCAAGGTTTGCAGGGATTCTTTAAGATGGTGTCAGTGTAAAATGTAAGTGCAGTTTTGATAAACTGAAGGTGGAAAATTTGTTATTAGAAACTGACGCTAAATGCTTTTCTCCTTTCTAAGAGCAATAGCTTCAGCTTGTTTCTGGGCGGCAGCCAAACAATTCAAGAACATTTTGGTCTTCAGTCGTCGACTCTCAACGGCAAAAAGCATCAACTGGAGACCCAGTCTAGTGATTGGTTCGTAAGTATCCAAAATTATTTAGCAGGTTTCTGCCTTGAGAAAAGCTTTATTCATTTCAAAGCAAAAAAGAACTCATGTTCTCAGTTAGGCTCGTGAATAAGTCGTGATTGTTTAATAAATCTTGAATTGTTTGTAATTACTTACCAAGAGCACTTAACACGAGCAAGACGCAAGCACCAACACAAGCAATCACACCAATTATGTTTAACGCTAGCAGGATATTATACTTGGCTTCCGAGTCACTGTAAGTTCAACCAGAATATTAGCAGATATGTACACAGACAAAAAAGGAAATTTAAAAGACGATACAGGATAGTTGAAAATTGCACAAGTAAGCAAGCAAGCTTTGTTTGTTGCTACTTTATATGATGCACTACCCTTAAGTTCGCAGTGAAGTGAGACGAAAAACTAGTCTAAACTCTGACACTCCTCTTTTTCCTAATCATAGAGAGCTCCAGGATTTTTCTTCTTGGGATGACAAGGTGTGGCAGCTTAGCAGCTGACTTGCCCTTTTTATTTAAGTAGCGATATAGAGCACCATTCTTTCGGACTTAAGACTGTCGGGCACTCTTGATCCAGCCTAACAGCGATCGTACCACCCATTCCATCGGAACATAGGGCACGATGAATCGCGCCGTCTCATCGGTGTTTTACAACAGTGATACTTACCTACACCTAAGGAAAACATCGAGATAAAACCTAGTTTTAAATACTTATACATACTTATTCCCTAATTACAAGTTTGAAATCACCAGTCTGCCTGTAGCAAGCGGCTCGGTCCTTCTACCTACATATGAAAGACTTGGTCAGCAGTGGGGCATTACAAGCTGATTATGAGGGTGATCAAAAGATGTTTTTCAAATGCTACGACTGAGTTGGTAAGTACCTACATACATAAAAGTGTACACACACCTTACAATAATAGCAAACGACATTATAATCTTTGTTACTATAACTACGATAAACAAAGTAACCTATTTATAATATACTTAAAGCAACTTTCAGAAGGAACCGCTTCAATTCAAAATAGCACCATTTACTTCTGTTTTACATAGTTACTATAAGAATGTTTGCGGTGTTTAATTGAAACGCCTAAATTTGACATTACATACTTAGAGACATTGACAGGTGTCAGAATTTAACACATTCTGCTTATTTTGACAGTAATGTTATTTATTTCTACACGATTACTACCTACCCGTTAGGTTTGAAACGAACCTTATTAGTTAACTAAAAGAAAGTAGGTAAGTATAAGCATTTTGTATTAGATACTTTATGGCATTCATTCTATCTTCGTTGATTTCGTTGTAAGTTACCTGCCAACCTGCCAACAATATTAAAAAGCAAGTAAGTACTTAAACTACCCTACCTACATCTAGGTACTGAAAACGTTTGTCAGTAATAATTGCTATTTAAAATTTAATAGGCACTTTGTTACATTAATTTCAAATAAGCCATTACTCCCGCACAGCTTTACTCGGTGCTCGAGTCCTAATGGTTATAGCGTGTATGTTACATAGCCTATAGCCTTGCTCGAGAAATGAATTATCCAACACAAGATATATGTGCAATTCTTGCCAGTAGTTGTGATTTCAATCAGACCAACTCTTGAGCTTTATAGTACCTAAGTAGATAAGTATCTATATAGACTAAAAATGTGTGAGCAGTACATTTTTATTGACCCCTTATTGGATACCACTTCGTTCCATACGCAAACTATATTTATTTTCTGTTCATCAGTTCTGGCCCCGCTGGATCGGCGGATTATCTGGAGGGAAGTGGTAGGTAGTATAATCATTCCCAATTCCCAAAGTAGGTACAAATATAAGTAAAGCAACACAAACCACATTTGATCACTATGGTGGAAAAATTGGAATGAAACTAAACCACTTATTTTAGTTAATGAAACAACGATACGAATAAATCAGTAACTCAACCTACTTCCAAGACCAATTTTTTTCAATGGATTTACTTTGTCAAGAACAAAATGGCAGAAAGGAACAATAGATGTATCTGCTTTATCTGCCTACCCATCACTAAATGTGTACAATATCATAATAGCAAATATTCTAGCTATCTACACATCATAATAATATTATCTACAATATGATATTTACAAGTGATTAAATAAGTATAAGCCCTAATATTATTTATTGAGCTAACTTATAATTAGTTTATCGAGCTTTATTTATTGCTATCATGGCGTAAACGGAGCGTCAATAACATTGTTATCAGGAGAACTTACGAGCTGACTGTAGGTTATACGATTTTTATAATTAGACGAGTTTATAGACGGCAGTCTGTTGCGGGCAGTCGCTGCACGGGCGTGGCGCGACCGGTCACGTACGACGCTAAATCTATTTTGAAATTCGAACGCAGTGCGCGCGCGCGTTCCTCCGCTTTGTTTACTAACATTCAGTGTTAAAAAACCTTGTGATATTTTAACGCCAAAATAAAAAGGTAGGTCCTTTATATTATTTTTGTGTGCTTTTAATGTATATGCAATTGTTGTTTTGTGTCTGGTTTTAGATATTGTGTCATGCGTTCCTCATTTGGATTTTTATGTTAAAATGTAAGCCGGTATTAAACGACTTTATAGTGTACACAACAAGCCATTATCGTGTGTGGGCTATATAATATGTACATATGTGTTTATGTATGTGCATGTACGTAAATCAGCTTTTGCGTCTTATTTTTATTTAAGTAAGCTAAAAAAGAGAAGTATAGTTAGCAATAAAAATTGGTGACATACAATTTTAAAATGTTAGTACTGTAAAAATATAGGTAATATAATTTGGAAGGTTTGATAATAAGTTAATGATCATTAAGGATTTGCATCTATTCCAATATTTGGGTCTAATCCATAGGCATTAAAAAGAATCTATGGTAGACCATAGATTATTTTTCTTTTAATCTAGGTTTTAATAAATGCCACTACTTACACATTAAATTAAGTCCAGTTTATGCTTCATACTAAAATATAAGTATTTAAGTAAATAAATAAAATAAAAACACTGTAAACACAATTAGGTAGGTACTTAGTAAATAAATGATTAATAAATAGAAACAGTTTTACGGTTAAAAGTTACTTAACTAAGTACATAAAAGGACCTAGTATTAGGTTTAAAAAGACCACCTTTCTTCCTTACCGAAAGTTCTTGTGGTAAATTATTTTTGTCCTAGCGAAGCCACATATTTATAAGAAGCTAGTAGCTATCGTACCTACTGGAGCACCTATACATGTAAATCGACAAGACCTAAATGTATTTAATAAATAATCAAATAAATAATTCTTTTTAACAAGGTGCATTCCCTTTTGGTAAATAAATCATTTATTTTGGCAACTGTTGCTAATTTCTTATTTCCGTACCCTACTTGTTTACCTATTATACTTACACATTGCTTTACTTCTTGGCTTTATAATCATTTATAATCCATGATTGTTTTATAATAATGCATGATAGATTGGTTGTAGTTGAAGTAAGCGTTCGTCCCATTGCAGTAGGGATCTAAGAAATAAACTTGATAAGGCTTCCTAATCTATATTTTAATTTGTGTAGGTTACACGTAGGTAACACGTTTTAATTATGCTGGTAGAGGGATCTCATTGTTTGGGATTGCCAAAACTTCTCATGTTTTATATGTCTCTTAGCTATTACCAATCCCCCTAAGGACTAATGGTATTTCGAAATTAGCCAAATAGGTAAGTGATTACGAGTTTTTGCTTGACATAATCTAATAATTTATCTTTTCAGTTTTATTTATGAAAATTGAGCATAAATTAACGACGTCTTTATCGTTACTCAAAGTGTCTTCTGCCAGCTAAAACACAAATTATACACTCATACTTGAAAAATGAAATCGATCACTGCTCTCATGTGATCAAATAAAATGATTCATGATATTAAATTGAACAACGCATGAGGTCTTCTGGACAATTTGTGGTTTTAAATAAAGACTACATTACCAACATATAATTTCTAAGGTGCTGCCAATAAAAAAAAAAATGACATGTGGGACCATACCATATGAAGTAGGTTTTGTATTTCGTAACCCAATATGTATAAACCTGCGAATGTATGCCAATTGTCAGTTTCAATCAATAAATACATGTTTGATTAGCTTTTAAATACCATTAACCGATAGCTGGGATAATTTTTAAATGACGGACCTTTATGGCTAATTACTTAGTACCAGTATTAGGACGGAAGGAAGAAGAAAGTAAAACTATTACTTAATAATCCTAGTGACTGTTTGTGTAGTCGTCTCTACGTGACTATCCTCACGAAAGCACGTGGGATTTTTATTGACTCAACCTGCACAAAACCTGTTTTTTGTTGACGCATTCTCCTTAAGGAATCTAAAATATTGTTATTCTTTGTTTAATTTAGGAAGAGTGGTACTGTGGTTTTTTTATATCTCTTGAATTATCATAACTGCAACTCTGATAACTTCAAATCCTAAAGCCACAATTTCCTAAATTAAATGAAGTGTATAATATAGTGTTTAATACTCAAAAAGATAATACGTAACCTAGAATGGAGAAAATTGTATTCAAAATTGTAGTTGAAACCTAAATTTGATGTTGTTATTTTTTTTCAATTAGGACTTAGGTTCTTCAAACTTTAGTTTCAGTTTACCGCGAACATGTAGGTTACCAGTAGGTACCTAATCAATTTAACAATGTCATTAAAATTAAACCGAACCAGGTGTACAAGCGATCAGACAAAAAAATATGTTAATTATTAAACTATGCTTGCCTGCTTAAAATCTCGGGACGATAATGTATATTAAATAAGGCATAAGATTTTTTGGAGAATCGCCCTCGTATTCTAGTAGTCTCTTACATTGGAGATACCTATATAGTTATATTTTCTGACTGATTTTTAATATAATTCATAAAACAGACGAAATTAATCCTTTTGACCTCTCATCATCTGTTGTCCTTATTACCGATATAAATTTTTACAATAAAGCTCTGTACCTGTTTCATATATTATTGGACAGGCAATATAAAAAAAAATATTAAGATATTATCGCAAAGAATAGTTAAGAGCTTAACTATACTTAATAAAGTCTCTCTACATTATCTAACTTAATTAAAATAATTAAGTACCTAAGTATTTTTATACGTGAAAGCGCCAAAAATATTGCATAAGTTCATGCATGAAAAATTATTTGAAAATAACGATTTACCTACTCACTATCACGTGATTTAATTGACTGAGAAAAGCTCATGTAAGTTTTAAGTCACAATTGGACTCTAAGGATGTCTCCCAAGAATATGAACCATTCAGATAGTTTTATTTAAATGGAAGAAACTATAGGTGCTTACTTGCATTGTAAAATTATAGATACGAAAATAAATATTGATTCTATAGAGAGAAAATAGATAACTATTGGTTGGCTACCACGCCGACCGAACTGTACATTTTAAATTCTCTTTATAGGTATGTATGTAAGTACATACATACATATTAAATCTTGAAAATCAACTTTCGTATCTCTCTGTACGGTTCAACGTCACAAGTTCACATTTGAACCAAAGTTTTAACAGGTCATTGGCTCGTAATAAAGAGATTAACTAGTTCGAGGTTGTTTGAGGCCCTTTTATGACATCTACACTTCCTAATACCCTTGGACTATGATGTTCATGGTCGTAAGATATCGTCATAATCTGATCGGAATCGGATCAGCATCCATGATAAATAATTCTTAATAACCATTACTTAGCTAGTTACTCAATCATTCTTCCGCTACGGCTGATAATTAGATACCTTTACTATAGCAGTTTATGTCTCTGTATTTGTTAAAAGATTTGCATTGAAGTTATTTTTACTTGTAAAGACCCTTAAAAGTGGTCAAAGAAGCTGGAAAATCAGTACAGAGTCAGATATAAATTAAAAATCTGATTGATGTTGATTTTGAGGTTTGCGGTAAGACTTATAATGTATGTAATGTATAGTCTGTCAAGAAAAAATCTATTGGTTATTAATTTTTCATTTAGCTGATGGTTAAAGTTTAATGTTATAACAATTTATTAAGCATAAAATTAAACTAAAAATAAGTTGCTATAGAATAGATAACATCAAAACATCGAAAATCCTTTAACCTTTAAGTGTGGGAGAGCCATGCTTCGGCACGAACTTCGGCCCACAGCGTTGTGTTTCGCCGTGTGAGTGAGGTTATCGGAGGCCCAATCCGTCCCCACCCCCAATCCCTCCTCAATCCCTAAATCTCCAAATCCCTAATTCCTAAAAGGTCGGCAACGCACTATTTATTTTAAAGGTAATAAAAAAACTTTTATAGAAATAAACCGGGAATATCGACCCTGAACTTTAACAGTCGCATTGATTGAATTACATAATAGACATTATATTAATTAAACTACATAAAAAATAAAAATTAAAAACATCAACTAGTTTACCTGACTAAAGTTTTTTGAGACATGACCAACGAGGCGTAGTTTCCGGCAACACTACGCTGTTTACCGACCTTCTTGGACACGCGGTGCGATAAAAATAATTTACATTTTAATAATATAGAAGCCGAATAAACAACAGGATTATATCACTGTCTTTGTATCCAAAGAACATTTTCAAATTATATTTAGTTCGAACACGCTGCTCATGTGAACTACATTCGAAAATAGAATCAAAACACAACGTGGCAAATGCTTTTGTCGGTAGGTCAAATGCTTATGAAAATAAAACGGTAATATGGTGCTTCTTTCCATAATTTAAGAAGTGTGGGAGAGTCATGCTTCGGCCCGAATGGGTCGGCTCGACCGGAGGTACCACGGCATCATAGAAAACCGGCGTGAAAAAACCACAGCGTTGTGTTTCGCCCTGTGAGTGAGGTTACCGGAGGCCCAAACCTACACTTCCCCCAATCCCTCCCAAATCCCTAATCCCCAAAAGGTCGGCAACGCACTTGTAACTCCTCCGTTGCGGGTGTCCATGGGCGGCGCTGATTGCTTACCATCAGGTAATACATCTGCTCGTTTGCCGCCCTATTTTTTTGTAGAATATTGATCATTTTAAGGATTCAATTAATAATAACTAATGTCAGGTCAGTCATTAGATGCGGGGTCGAAAGCGCTCATACGGACCCTTCGCTGAGTTGATTGTTGGGTTCTTGGATTAGAGTCATCATCATTACCTATCAGCTGTCAACTACTAAATTATACTGAAGTGGCAGTGGGCAGAAACAGATGGGTCAGAAAAGTGTACGAAAGTGGGCAAAACTCCTGCTAGGTGGACCGACGACCTCGTCAGAATTGTGAGGATCCAACGGATCAGTGGCTTGTCGTTCGGCAAGGAGAACTAAGAGGAAGGCTTTTGTCCAGCAGTGAACCTCTTCCGGCTGATAATGATGAAGAAATTATTATAAGTCTTCCCTAAGCTCCTAATGACTTCTAGATAACAGTAAGTCTATGTAAAACTTGGTCTCTGCAAAAT